AATGTGTGCTCTATATAAACAAGCATCTTGCCTATTTTTTTACAGTACTCTGTCCACAGTACCTAAAACAACACTTACAGGATGGGTAGATGCATGGAAGGATGGGTGGATGGGTGGGAGCTTGTGGCCCAGGGGAGGCATGTCACTCTTAACACAGTGTCAGCTGGTCTGAGAGCCACCAGGGACCCACGCTCTCTGCTCAGTGTGTTTGCTGTTCCCTCCCTCCTCCCACCCTCACCCCCAGACCCAAGATTTATTTTTCATAGTTGTCATACCTGGACAGGGCCCTAGCACTCCCAGCCTGGGATTATTAACTGTCTGGGGCTAATGTTCCGGGGCCAGAGTTCTGCTGGGCCTGCCTTAATCCCTCAGAAATACCTTCTACACCAGGTTGTGAGATAGCAGCCCCAGCCTGTCCCAGAATGGGCTGATTTTACATAACATGTTTTTGCAACCAGAGTCATAACAGATGCTGCCCCTCGGTGTTGCGTCTTACACCAGCACCGACCTGCAGGACCGGAGTGTGAATGTGCGAGTGTGCGTGTGTGTTTCACGTGTACTCTGCATGTGGATGGAGTATTATCTTCCCTCTGTCCCTGCAAAAGCCTGGGTTAAAAAAACCAACTGGCCCCCCGGCCCAATTAAGTAATGCAAAGGGGCAAAACGTAAAACGGGGGGAACTGCAGCCAGGTCTCAGAGCGCAAGGGAGAATGGTTCTCCTGCAAGAAGTCACGGGAGCAGGCAGGGCCTGGTGGTGCTCCAGGGTGGTGCTCCAGAGGCACACAGGGCTCAGATTGACCAAACACACAAAACCAGCTGGGAACGCCAAGGCTGTTCTCTCTTGGGGGGTGGGGGCCTTGTACCTGGACTGACGGCCACAGGGAGATCTTTCAGAGCACAGAGTGGAAGCATTTGTTGGACAAATAATTAAAACAAAGGCCACGCTATATGCTCTTAAAGGATAAATTTCCTGTTCTCCACTCAAGGGCTATAGCCTTTCTTAAAAAGCAAGACGGGATCTGTGGTCTAAAGCCAGAATAGCATCTCCCTGGCCAGGCCACCGGGAGCACCAGGTCAGGCTTTTTTCCAAATTCCTTATTAGTCATTGCTGTCATTGGGTGCCCCTTGGCTAGGACTTGCCACCCTTCCTAGTCCTATCTTAGGGGCGATGTGTTCGGGCAGCTGTTTCCTCAAGATTAAATGAGCAAGAGGGGCACTTTTCACTGTGATGGATGATCTCCTCCTCCCCCTCATCCTCTCTCCCTCCTCCCTCCTCCCTCCTCCTCCTCTTCCTCCTCCCCCCTCCTTCTCCTCTTTTTCCTCCTCCTCTTCGTCTTTCTCCTTCTCATTCTCCTTTTTTTCTTCTTCTTAACACATGATCTTCCCTCTACCTAGAATATACTGCCCCCACATATTTTTACCCTTTTTTATTGACATAAAACTCACATACCATATATTCACCCTTTTATAGTATACAACTCAGTACTTTTTAGTATATTCACAAAGGTTGTGCCACCATCACTACTGTCTAATTCCAGAATATTTTTGTCAGCCCCAAACGCAGTATCCATTAGCAGTCACTCTTCATTCTCCCTCTTCCCAACCCCTGGCAGCTTCTAATCTACTTTCCATCTCTGTAGATTGGCCTGTTCTGGAGAGTTTGTAAAAAAATGGAATCATACAACATGCGGTCCTTTGTGACTGGCATGGTGGTTTTGAGGTTCATCCATGTTGTGGCGTGGATCAGAGCTTCCATCCTTCCTGTCCGTGTAATATTCCATTTTATTGGATCTATCACAGTTTATCTGGTCATCAGTTGACGGGCATTGGGTGGTTTCCATTTTTTGTCTGTGAAGAACAAGGCTTCCGTGACCACTCACGTGCTGTCTTACCTCTCGCCAATGACATTAAAGATCCTCTGCTCACTCGGGCTGGCTGCGTGTCTGGTGGCCAGTGTGTGGCTCAGCACAGCCTTTCTCCTTCTGCTGGCCTCACATTGACCCCCTGTTAACACCCAGATGACCTTGTTTTGGGGGGAGTGTGGGCAGCACCTGAAGTAGTGTGCGTCTCTTGGTACTAACCAGTCCCTTGAGTTTGAGAAACAAGGTGGCTGATTGAAGAGCGTCCTCTAAGTGAAGCTCGTGTAAACACAGTGCACCCTTTTTATGCAGGAAGAGGTTCCTGGTGATGGAAAGTTCTATGTAAAGTGCCCCAGGGAAGGAAGCAAGGTTCATTCATTTATTCACCAAGATGCCACCTTCGGGCTGGGGTCCAAGGTGGCCTCATGGGTGGGGCCAGTCCTCTGTAGCCCTTGCCTGGATTATTCCTGGAGAGGGAGGCCCTCTGAGGGTGCAAGAGTTTGTTCTGTTACCTTTGTCACTTTGTTCAGCTGATGTCTGGCCTCCTGCTAGGGTCTGCCAGCCTCTGGCCTAAGAGAACACAAAACAGAACTTCTCTGCCCTCCCCTAGCACACCGGCCTGGGGCACCAAGCACCGCATAAATTCCTTCTTCCTTCCCTGGCCTGAGCTTCCCGTGCCCTCCTGCCCTGCACACCACCTCCTGCTGGACTCTACCAACACTGGGGGCTCCCTGACCACAGGTGTCTGGGCTGCCTTGTTTGTCCTGGCACAGTCAGCCCTGATCACAGTGTTAGGATCATGGGAAAGATGATGATGACAACGACAACAACAATGGCAATGACACCAAGATATTTATTAAGGCTCACGACGTACCAGGCATTATTCTATGTTCTTTGCATGTTTATAAACTCATTTAACCCTCACACGAGTTCTAGGAGGCTGATGCTATTATTTCCATAGGCACATAGGGGTTAGGTCGTCTACGCAAAGTCACATAGCCATCAAGATCTGAGCGTTCGCAGTCTAGCTCCAGAGCCCAGGCTTCCAACCACTGTGACAGTATTTACACATTCTCTTTCTCCCCCTCTCTCTCTATATATATATATGTATATGTGTTGTTCTGGGATGGATAGTGTACACAGGAGACATAGCCATGGCTTCACAAGAAGCCCTGAGCAGCCTGTATGCCCCATTGGGCCACACGGAGTCCTGGGGAAGGCTTAGGACCCCACGCTCTCATGGCCGCTGCCCATGGCTAGTGGAGGAGGCCAGGATGTGGGTCGGAGCCCAGGACTCTGAGGCCGGGATGGAGGAGGCTGGCGCCTCCTGGGCCCGTGTTATGCCAGGTGCTAGGGCAGCTCCCTCTGCCCAGCCTCGGTGCTGAGATCCCGATGCAGGCCGCGGCTCGGGAGGGAGCCTCGGCTTCCTGTTCATTGTCTACTTGGGGCGCACCCAGCATGTTCCTGAGTGACCTAGAGAGGCAGGGAGGGTGAGGAGGGGCCAGCCCAGAGCTCAGTCCGGGTGGGAGAGGGGAAACGAGAGGGGAAGACCTGGTGTTTCTCCTTGTTTGTGTTTTGTATTAAAGAAAACAAATAATATCCTTTGAGAAAACCATTAAACAAAGAACATCCTAAGGCTCCAGAGGCCCATTGTGGCTGCCTGGAGCCCGGAATTCATTCATGCTTTTTGGCTAGATCTCTGGAGGCAAGAGAGACAGGGTAGGAGGGAAGGACTGTTGTTAAAATACATTTTGAAATGTGTCATTCCCTCCCTGGCCCAGTAGGCATCCAGGCCAAGTGGCCATAATGCCAAGGTCTCTGTGTCCTCCCTCCCACTGCCCCTCTGGGAAGCTCCCCCAAACTGGCCAGTCCCAGCACAGCCAGGGCTGTCAGTGCCCACCCCACCCCTCCGCCTGGTGCGGGCTGAGCCCTGTGAAGGCAGAGCAGTGGGACTCTCCATTGGGAGCCTGAATCCAGAGGGCCGCATGTGCCCCACCACAGGGGGTCAGGGCTGCCAGCCCACAGAACCGTGAATATTAGAGAGAATTCACTGTCTGACCTCTCTGGGCCTCCGTCTCCCTGCCTGTCAAGTAGGGGTCTAGGCCAAATGGACTCTCGCTGACCACTCTCCAGCAGACTGGGCTCTGTGGCTCCTCTCTCATCCTGTGCATGCCCAGGTCCCTACAGGTGGCATGGAAGGTCACACTCAGGTGTGGACTATGCATCAGGCCTGTACTAGGTATCCCAGACCCCAGCCAGACCACCCCCTCCCCCTAGACCCCATTACTGCCCCCTGGGGTGCCCATGATGGAATGGTAGTGCTGTCTATCATGTCACACCAGAACACTTTTCTGTTGCTGGGGGGCGGTAAGAACAGAGCTGGCCATCAGCCCAGCTTCTGCAAGTAATTCTGCCTGGGGCCTGGCGTTTACGGGACCAGCCCATGTTATACAGAGAGGGTCTCTCTCCAACCTTGATATAAATGTATAAATAATTGTTGTCGTGATGAAAATACACAAAAGACCATCCTTAGAATTTTCCCTGTCCCTCCTTTAAAGTTGAAAAAGGCATTTAGCTGTTTGCACATTTCCCTAAATACTCCTTAGATAGAGTAAAAGAAGAGGATTTGGTGAAATTTGCACAGGGGGAGCCTGGACTAAGATTAGGAGACACATTTCCTCTGCACGGGGCTCAGGGTTTGCAGAATTTACCCCCTTGGTCCTCTCAACAGCCCAGGGAAGAAGGCGTTAACGTTCCCATTTTGTTAGGGAATGAAGTGACTTGTCCTGGGGCACTCGGCCAGTGAGCCGCAGCGCCTGGCCCCAGCTCTGTGGCTCATTCACCTCTCTGGACCACAGCATCCTCGTCTGTAATTCAAGGGCTTGGATACGATGCATTTCAAGGTGCCCGTTGTCCCCACTCTATTGTGATTCTGTAGTTCCAGTATCATCAACCTGGTGGGAAATTCATTAACTCTAGTATTTTCCATTTTTCAGCCTGGATTGGGTGGTCAGAGTCTAGTCTTTCCAAACTCTTAGTTTCTTTTTGTTTTAGATACTGCTGTAGTTCATGCAGTCCCAGGGGTGCTGTGCTCGCTTTCCAAAGTAACTAATGTTCCCCCTTCCTCCCCCCACCATGCAGGGCTACCACCCGATGCCCCACGAAGTGGAGATTGCGCACACCAAGAAGCTGTTCCGGAGAAGGAGAAATGATCGAAGGTAGGAGAGACTCCATCTTTGGGTTTTCTTTGCCCGCGTTGGCTGTCTGGAGCTACCTCAGATCTGGCCTGCATTCTGCTTTGCCCGGTCACCAGCTGATGCCTATGGGATGAGGTTGGCAGCCTGACGCGGTTGATTACTGGTTGGGATTCCCACGTGGGCAAGGCAACTCCGCTTCTCTTGTTGTTTCAGGGATTGGATTCCTTCAGGAGTCCAGCAGAGGGCCACTGTTACCACTGCCTCTTCCTGGGGGGGCCAGGGTGGGCAGGACCCAGGCTCTGCAGTTCAGGAGGAGAAATGCGCTTTCCACCATCTCAGAGCAACAATGGCAGTCCCCAGGAATAGGATCTCACTGGCTGCGTGTTTTGAGACATGGCCTCCAGGAGGCTCCCGGAGCTCACAAGTTAAAGGGTATCTGTCTTTCCTTCTGTCATTGTCCCTGGAGTTGTCCCTGGTGCGTGCTGGCTCTGCTGTCTCAGGCGACAGACAGATCAGCAATGGCCCACTTAAACTAAGGCAGAGACCAGGATCTCCCGTGGGGCCCAGAGTCCTGGGGGACAGTAAGGGGCCAGGAAAGGTGCAGTGAAGCAGCCCTGGATGGGAACACGCGGCCGAGATCAGGCATCCCGGGAATGTGTGCATTTATTGTCGAAAAGGCTTGCTTATTAAGGAAAGGTCTTCAAGATGTATTTTAAGTGCCAAAATTCAGGTGCAGAACAATGTTTGTTGTGTGTGGCCATTTGTGCAAAAGGGAGAGTTAGAGCCTATTTTTTGCTTAAACGTGCATAAATTATTTCTGGATGGAAATACAAAAAAAGAAAGAACAAAAAGGCTTATGCCTGAGGAATTAAAATGAGGTGTTCATTCCTCTATAGGGAATTTACTCTTAGATAAAGGTGATGGCCCGTGGTCTTACCGTTAGTGAACAGAGAATGTTTGCGGAGAGCCAAGGAACAGCCAGCTGCATCCCTTGCTCTGGGCACTGGGAGCGCCTGCTTTCATGGTGGGTGGGCTCTGGGGCTGACCTGTGCCTCTGATTCTTCCTCTGGGTGCAGGCTCGGGACAAGCATTGGCAGGTGGTGGCCACGGCTCTCGGGGTTGGTGTAGGATTGGGCACCCAGAATGCCTTGTCATCCGCTGGTGGATTTAGTGGGTCTGGCACCAGTCACAGAGGACAGTAAATGTACACCTAGCTGGGAGGAAGGCAGCCCAGGCTGAGAAAGCGGAACCACCAGTCGTGAAAAGGGAAAACTGAGCAAGGAGAGTTGGACCAAGCGCTCGTTCTGCCCCGACCAGAGTGTGGTTAATTGCACTGTGGGTGCTGCCTCTTTGCTGTGCCACGTCGCAGAGGCTAACTGCTGGCTTCTGGGTTCATAGTGGAGGGAAGGAGTGGGGAGCACCCATCAAGGAGGAGTGGGGTTCACAGGGGCCTGGAGAGGTATCAGGCAAAGCAGAGGCTTATGTCCTCCCTCCCATGGCCCTGTGGTCCCTGATGGCAGGGAAGGCCCAGAGCGTGTGTCTCAGAGGTGTGGAAGTCCCCAAGGTTCCCAAGAGGAGTCACCCTCTGACCCACTTCTCCGGGCCCAGGCAGCGGCAGGCTGCTGCCCGGCGTCCAGGCCAGCCCACATGTCCATTTCTGGGCCAAGTTTTCTCACTCAGCAGGAGTCCCCTGGACAGTGGCACAGTGGCAGGCCTCCGGAAAGCAGCAGCCTGGCCCAGGAATGTAGGAAGAGGAGCACAGCATACAAGGACTGGGAAGCCGGACTTCCGCTGGGCCGCACTCGCGTTAGCAAATGCCCGGGTGAGGTCAGCACGCCTCACAAAGGCCGTGGACTGGGCCAGGCTCCAACAAAAGGCAATAAAGATGATTAAAAGGGTGGAAAGTATGTCCTGTGAGGAGAGCTGGAGGGCTGCAGCCAGGCAAGAGGAGGCCAGAGGGAAGGAACATATGGAAGATTGATATGAGGGGCAGCTGCCTCCACCTCCACAGGGACCCAAGCTAGAGGAAATCAGCTGAGGGAAGAACAGAGTTTTCAGCTGGACCAAAGATGGACTCAAGGAGTGAACATCTTGACCAGCGGGGGCCCAGACTCTGCAATTCAGGGCAGCAGAAGTGAACTGAGCAGGTAGCGCGTGCTAGTCAGGGCGCTCCACCCTTGTCCTATATCGTGGATACGGCCCGAACCATCACTCACTCAGAGCCTGGAGCTGTCCTGGAGTCCCCAGGGGATGGGGACTTTCGAGAGAAGAGCAGGCGGCCGTATGGGTTAAGGACCACATTGTCTGAAAGCAGGAGTCTCCTGAGTCCTTCTTGGGAAATCATGTGATTCTGAAATTCAAAGAGCAGCTGTGGAATATTATCAGGTTTACCCCTAACCCTCCCAGCTGATGGTTGATAATAGTGGCCTTGCTAAGTGCCAAACCTTCATGTTTGACCTTGGTTGTTAACGCTTTTGTACGGCAGGTTAACCTTCCTGATATTTTGGGTTTAAACCACGCTGAGAGGCACTTACATTCCCCGGGCACACCAGGTGGCAAACGGGGAGATGACCAGAATCAGGTTATCAGGTTTGGTGGCTGAAGGGCACAGCCAGAATCTGTGTCGTGCCTCTCACCTCCCCTGTCATGTGAAGGGAAGTGGCCATTTGTAACCCCATGGTGTCTCCGTGGCTCTCCTTGATGCCTGCAGGAGTCTGTGGACTTCCGTCTCCTGACCACTGCCTGGAGTTGGCTTCCCATAGCGGCAGACTCCACGCAGCCTGGGCGTGTAGCTGAAGTGCGATTGTGTGACTTCCCACAGCCTGGAGCAGGGATTTGCAAATGGGGACCTAGAATCCTGGTCTTCTGGAAGCGTGCGTCCTATCCCAGTTCCAGCTGGACTGCCAGGGGGCTTTGTGGCCCTACTGCTTTTATTTTCCACCTGTTTAAGTCCGAGGCAATTAGCAAGCTGAATAATGCAGCCGTCAAGGCACGTACCCTGGAGTTAGGGGCTGGAAGGGAATCCCACCTCCTCTGCTCACTAGCTCTGTGATCTGGGCAAATTACTCCTGTCTTGAAAACTCTTATTTTCTCTTCTGTGAAATGGGTCCACTAACTGCGAGGCTTAAATGAGCTATTAATAATTCTTGTAAAGCACCTAGAAACAGTCTTAGTGCCACCTACAGGTGAGGGGGGATCCGAGGTGCTCAGGAAACGTGAGGCAAGTGTGGAGTACAGGTGTCTGCAGTGAGGCTAGGCTTTGTCCCGTGATCCAGGCAGCATTCTAGGCTTGCTTGTGAACCCAGAAAGCCTTGCCCTGCATTCCCTCCAGGGCCAGGGCCCCAGGATCAATCGTTCCTTCTCCCGGATCAACTCTTAAAGCCCTGGCCCCACTGTCAGGGCCTCCCCGAGCCTGGGCAGGGAAGGAGGGCCCCTCCAGAGCAGCCATCCACAGGTTCCGACCCTACATTCCGTGGGCTTGCTTCAGGTAAGTTGTGGATGTTCTTTTTCCGTTTTGCAGGAAAAAATTAAGCTCATGGACAGTGCAAAGATTTTCTCCTTAAGAGTGTTCTTGCAATTAACAACTGGTAACCACTTGTTTATTTTTGGAAGCTAGTAAACGACAGTTTGCTGATTTCAGACAAAATTGTTCATTTTATGATATAAATGCACTAAATGAGTATTCCACGCATTCCTCAAAGAGCAGCACGCCTTAGATGCCCTGTCCCCACACAAATCAGAGGCCTGTTGCTTGGAAGGAGATCTGTTGAGGTTTGTACCCTCCTAGCATGCAGGGCAGAAGAGCAAAGTCACTAGAGGGCTGAAGCCCTGGCCCACCGCCCGAGTTTACCTGAGAGAGGTCCCTCACCTGGGGGCATGGTTCTCTGCTCCTCCCCACCCTGGCTCCATTTTAAGAGATGAACACACTGAAGCAGTGAATGACTATTGTGGTCAGCGTTCCCTAGGAAACAGACTTTGGGATGGGGATGCTTAAAAAGCAGGCGGGGGCTTTTTAAGGAATGCGCTTGGGCTCCGTGTAGTCAGGAGAAGGAGCAGCAGGACCGGTCAGAGAGCAGGTGACCTGCAGTGCAATCTTGGAGAGGTCTGACCCTAGGGGGTTCTGAACTTGGGGTGTCTTTTAGAGCTATCCCAAGATGGACTGAAGGGGCAGCCCTTCATCCCCTTATGCCCATTGGTCATCAGGTGGAGTTTGCCCGGAGAAGGGGTGTGACCCTGGGCTGGGCAGTGCTCGTCAGCCAGGGTGGTTTTCCTGGGGGGCCGGCGGCTGAGGACTGTGTGTCCGGTACTTCCAGTGGAACATTCCAGAAGGGGCATCTGGGCAGTATGTCATGGCTCCGCCAAAAGTGCAGGGATGGCCCCTGCTCTCGAGGGCCTGAGGAGTAGCTTGCACAATGGCATTTTCACTCTGGAATCCACAATAACGTGGAGCACGGTGGTCTAGCATCCACGCGTTAATAGGGAGGAGGCTCAGAGAAAGGAGCCATCCTGAGAGATGGTTCCTGAATGCTTCCTGGAGGAGGCGGGGATGGAACTACCAACAAGACGCTAGGAGGATTTGGAAGGGATCTGGGGGGTGTCGGGATGAGGGGAGCATGAACACCACAGCTAAGCAAGGCAGGCCTTGGAGCCAGAGATTCCCCAGCCCCCAGGAGTCCCCCACATGGGTCCTAGAAACAGAGCCAGAGGCCAGAGCTCAGCACGGCCACACCCCCCAACCAAACTAAATAGAGAGGAAAAGCCGGAGCCTGCAGGCTCCCGAGGACCCCGGCCCAGACTGTTAGCAGTCTCCACGGACCCCTCTCAACCACGAGAGGCAGCGGCTAATGGAGGCATTAGTGGTCCATCGCACATGCCCGTGCGGCCAGGGAGACGGGAGAGCCTTCTCCAAATTAATTTGTTTCATTAAGTGAGGTCTCAGAACGGTTAATTTACTCCACGTTCAAAGCAGATTGAAAGGAGGAAGGAAACAATACCTTGGCCATCCCAGCTAGTGTCCCGTG